AGATATGGCTTCCAGGTAAGAGTTCACTTCCACTGGCTATGGCGACTCAGCGCCCAACAACCCACTGTTCACACACACTGGATCACCCTGGACATCCCACACGCGACACTCTGAACACTCACGCATCACACACACACAACACCCTAAGCTACAGCTATGGCAGCGCTAGGTGCCTCTACCCTATCGCTATGGCTACCTCGTCACTCTCGCCCACTTCAGCTTTGGGCCTACTGCAGACCTCCTCGCACAAGACGCTGAGGCAGCGCTTCCGCATGGCTTCCACAAAAATGAATGAATGGCTGTGCGCGGCCTCTTGATTTATACTTCGGTGACTCGTTGGTCTGCCCTGCGTCCCTGGCCCACGGTGCACACAGTCCCAGACGGTACTTGCTTGACTGGACCGAACTGACTGGACTGGGACTGCTGACTCTACGTGGTGGACCTCCACCACTTGCCCACTTGCCTCTGACTAAACTGGGGATGACTCCGAAAGGCCACTTCTAGAACCATCTACTTGGCCTTTCGGTACTGTAGCAGCTACGACTCTGCCCTTTCAGGGAAGTAGCAGCTACGACTCTGACCCTTCGGAAAGTCCACAGCTACGACTGCTGGACGGTCTACACTCCTACCCGACAGGTCTACAGTTCGAATCCCCTATACCCTGTAACCTACAATGTCCTACCTACCATTGGCGGTCCTACAGGTCGCAGGTTCAACTCTACGTGTTGACACAGGTACTGTACACAGGTAAGGTGGGGATCTATGGATCGAGCCCTGGGATCTGCATCAGCTCCTGCGAACTAGTGAATACCGTTTCACTCCCGCCGGCCTAAATTCGAGGTCCTCCGAGAAAATTTTAGTCCAAGGCAGGACCTTTACCTTTTCTATCTCTTTCATAGGCCTTGACTATATGGGGAGCTGTCTCTAGAAGTTCAGTTCGGGTGTACCATCGGTCGTCTTCTGGTTCCTGATATGCAAATCTGACCTTGTACTGTTTCTGAGGACGACCTCTACCTCCTGTTTTAAACACATCTTCACCTACAATGCCGTCAATGTCGTATCTTCCATCCATGTCTAGTGGGATCATGGATCGTCTAGATGGGAACTGATCGCTTACTGTGGACGACAATAACTTTGACGCATGGAAAATTGGGTAGGTGTGGAGGTGTAAAAGGATCTCTATTGAAAATGACGACCATCCTCTCCGCCCTTGACTTCTATGACTGGCCACGGTACTCTATAGGCGGGCAGTAACTTGCGAGATGTTCTCCTCAGGAGCAAACTCCTTAGCGCTGACCCAGACTAAGTTGCCTACTTGGAACTGTGAGGGGCGACGATGTTTGTTAGCTTGCTCTATCATCCTGTGCTGGGCCTTCCTAAGGTTGTTTACAACCGTAGCTAGCTCTTTTTCGTGCTGTATAGCGAACTCCCTAGTACCGGGCGGTAGCCTGATCCCGGTTAAGCCCTTCAAACGGTCTACGCGGCCTAAAGGACTTGTGCAGTTCGTTGGGAGTGCGGCACGTAGACAGATGCACACTGTTGTTGTAAGCACTGGCTACCTTGGGAAGCATCTCATCCCAGTCAACTTGATCTGGTCTAATGTACATTATCAGAACTGCTACAGGATCTTATTCATTTGCTCAGTCTGACCGTTGGTCTCTGGATGCCGGCCAGATGACATTAGCAACTTAGAGCCATAAACTTTCATCAACTCCTGCCAGTTCTGACTTCAGAACCGGGTGTCTCTATCACTAACTATAGACAATGGGACCCCGTGCTCCCTGACCTAATGATAAAAAAACTTGCGAATGACTAACTCTGTGCGTGCCTCTGACGGCAAAGGAACAAAAACAACATACTTACTGAATCTATAAACTATCACCATGACTTGGCTCTTGCCATGCCTACTCTTGACGCCCGCGTCCATAAAGTCGATGGACACTGAATCTCCGGGGTGATCAGGAATAGGCAAGGGATTGAGAAGACCTAGCGGAGCACGCGTAGTGGTCTTATTTCTCTGGCAGACTTTGCAACTGCGAACATACTCTATGCAGTCATTCTTCATACCCAGCCAGGTGTACTCGTGCATTAGATTGGCCAGAGTCTTTTGCCAACCGAAATGACCCTCTGTGTCGCGGCATTCTCCTAAGATCAGGCTATGGATTTCTTTACTATTGGGAATGCACAATCGGTCAAATACGTTAGTCTTCTCAAAGAGCAACCCCTCAGTGGTGCGGTAATCTGGCTTGGTCTCTGGGGCCTCCTTTACTTTCTTAAGAAGGTCATTATAGATAGGGTCCTGTGGCGTACGCTTCTCTAACCTTTTGCTGGAGGTCCTTCCCTATGTCCAGATAGTGAACTATTGCTCCAAAGTAGTCCGCTCTCCTACTCAGAGCATCCGCAACTACATTATACTTCCCTTTTACTGGCTTGAGCTCAAAATCATACTGATCTATCTCTGCGGCCCACCTAGTAAGCTTAGGTGTCATCTTGACCTGGGTCTTTAACCATCTCAGCGTCTCATGATCTGAATAAAATTTGAAGTGTCTCCCAAGCAAGTAGTGCTTCCAATGGTCTAATGCTTGCCTGAGAGCATAGAGTTTTCGCTCATAAGTATGTCGCTACCTTTTCTGAAGGCATCCTAGCAGACATGAATTCTACGGGTCTATAACCATTGCCATCGTCTTGCTGTATGACAACATCGATTCCGTATTGACTGGCGTCGGTCGTGACGACAAAAGGTAAAAACGGGTCGGCCACTTTAAGGACTAAAAACTCTATCAACACCTGTTTTAACTTCTTCATAGCAGACGTACAGTCCTTGTCCCACTTCCAGATCGCTTCCTTCTTCAGCAATCTGCGAAGGGGCGCAGCGATGGTCGAGAAGTTCCTCACGAACTTCTTATAATAGTTAGCTAGGCCCAGGAATGACCGCAATTCTGTCAACGTACGCGGTGTGGGTCAATCTCTAATCGCTGCAATCTTGCAATCTTCTGGCTTAACGCCGCCTCCGTCTAAGACGTGGCCTAGATATAATACTTGGGTCTTCGCCCATTCTCACTTCTTGGCATTGATCTTGAACTTAGCTTCTCTCAGCTTCTCCAAGACTTGCCGGAGATGACCCTGATGCTCTTGGAGGGTCTTACTAAACACTAAAATATCATCTAAGTAAACAACAATAAATCTATCTAACCATTAAGTTGTTCATACAGCGCTGGAACATTGCTGGCGCATTGGTCAGTCCAAAGGGCATCACTATGAACTCATAGTGCCCGGGCCCATATCTAGTATGGAAAGCCGTCTTATACTGATCATCAGGATGTACCTCTATCTGATGATATCCGGACTTCAAATCTATCTTAGAAAAGTATTTGGCCCCCTGCACTCTATCTAGGAGATCATCTATCCTAGGCAATGACTCAACATTCTTCACTGTGATAACATTCAGACCCCTATAGTCTATACACATTCGTAGCTCTCCCTCTTTCTTTGGGACAAAGAGAACAGGGGCTCCAAATGGAGGCGAACTGGGCCTAATCCAACCCTTCTCAAGGAGCTCGTCTAGCTGCTTGCGAAGCTCCTCCAACTCCCGCGGGGACATCCTGTACACTGCGCCCTTAGAGTTCTACTGCCAGGCTCTATCTCAATGCGATGTTGGATGGGCCGCGACACTACTCCGGACGGCGACTCAGCTAAGTCTTTAAATTCCTCCAGCAGTTTGACAATAGCAGGGTCGACGGGTTTTTCCTCCTTAGGCTCAGTCACCGGCCTAACATAGGCAACAAATACCTGTTCCTCCTGTTGCTCTTTCTTCACTAATCTTGCAAATGCAGGAGCACTAAGGGAGCAATGTGCCAGGGGGTTCTCTACTCCTGACACATGAAACAGACGGGCAGTCTTAGCCTCGCCTGAAGGGCTAGGGAGCCTACACTCGTGCTCTTTCAAATGGAGTGTGGCCCCGACTGCCTCTCCCCAATCCATCCCCATGACAATATCGAATGGGAGGCTGTCTTCTACGAGGGGAGTAAGGGAGTGAAAGACCTTCTCCACTTTCCCATTTTTCTCTAGGCGGAAATACGCCTGGACTCCCTCTACGTAATCCTCTACAACCATCGTGCGGTTGTCTGCGAGGATACTAACTATGGGGTCTGCTAGTTTCTGGACTGTAAGTCCCAGCTTCAACTTCGGCAGCGCTTTCTTACTGATATAGCTGCGAGTGGCCCCTGAATCTACTAGGGCCCCTACTCTGCCTCTGAAAATCTCTACATCTACTAATATGAGTTGTCCTTCCTTTTTCATCTTGGCGCAGGCGGGCATCCTCTCCTTCAATTCCTCAGCCACGCCTGTGAGGGAGGTGTCGAAAGAGACCCTAACACAAGCAGTCTCTGGACAACTATTTAGACACCGGCCTGCAACCTCTGCCATAGGCTCATGTGGTGTGGGAGTCTCCTGCCGACTAGCGCTAATTTCCCCACATGGCCTAATAGTAGGGGGCAGTTGCCACCCCTACCGGCGGCTGCCATTTGACCCTTGAGCAGCCGATCGGGCCTCTCTGTACTTAGGACAATATTTAATGATATGGCCCGGGTCACCGCAATAAATGCACTGGCCCCGGTCCACACGCTGTTGCCATAAGCCCTTGTCCAGACCCAAATCTTCCCAAGGCTTACCTTGCGGCAGCCCTGGGTGTCATCCACCTCTCCTATAAGGGGACCTATTCCCAGAACGGTTTTGCGGGGGACCTTGACCCCTGCCTCCCGCTTGGCGGTTCCCTCCTCTGCCGCCAACCCCCTGAGCGCCCTGAGATCGGTTCCCTAGGGCCCGACCCCCTTGGCCCTGGCCTCGTCCTCCTCCTTGCGGCCTCCCTCCAGCCGCGACAGCAGCATAGGTCCTCCCTTGACTTACCCCATTGTCCTCATCTTCTAACCCCCACTCTATCTGATCGTAGGGGATCTCGTCAACACTACCTTCGTCTAAAGTAAGGACAAGAATATCCTTGGTCTTAACCTGCCCAGAGATAGTGTGACCCTTCCACTTCTTTCCCTTGTCTAAGTCTTTGTCCTAGAAAGTGGAAACTGACACAGACTTTGCCTCAAAGGTTACCACTTCCCTGCTGAGTGCATCGTACGTCATGGCAGGGTCTTGACTCTTCGCAAAGAAGTGGCCACGCAGCGATTCGAGCATGGCCCTATAGAAGAGGTTGACCAACTGGGTCTCTGTGACCCCGTGGTCAGGAACAGCTACCCATTCGTCCATAACACCCTTGAGTGCCCTGACACTCTTCCATTGACGAGAATGGATGGTCTGAAGCCTATCTGAGGCTTTGACACTGCGGACGACATCAGCAAATAGCTCGCGCAACAACTTCATGAAATCTACGAGGGGGGTGAATGACGAGTAAGCAACTGCATCATCATTGCAGTTGGCAGAGCGGACTAGGGACCTTGCAAAACTGGCCGCCTCATCTCTAAGCGCATGGATCGCAATCAAGACGTGCTGATCCGGGGAGACCTGTTGCAAATGCACATAGGTCTTGACATTGGCCTCCCAATTGTCAAAGTTTTCTTCCCTCTTTCCACTGTAGGAGTCAGGGAACTTGACCTTGACTGGCTCCCTACGAGGACGTGCTTCTTCCTCCTTGGGAGCTGTCGCCTTGACGCCTTCAATGGCGCCAACGCAGAATCGTTCGGTCTTCTCGAGGCGATGGTTCACCTCGGCCCCTACTGCGCCTACTAGTTCGCGGGCAAAATCCCGAAATCCCAGTCGCATCGAGCGCACAACCATGTCCTGACTTCTACTAAACTCATATTGTTCCTCCTCTACTTGGGCCAAGCGCTCGACACTCTGGGCAATGATCTCTACCTTTCGTTGGAGGTCTACTTGAGGGGTCAACTGTAGAGTCAATTTCTGCACCTCCTCTAACTCTTTGACCGCTTCACTTGCTGCATCCACCCTCTTCTTCTTCTCCCTCATCATCCTTAACTTCCACTCCATTCTCTTCTCATTTTCTATTGCCTGCCGCTTCAAGGCATCTCTTTCTGCATCACATTCCTTCACGGCGGCCTCCTGCTCGTCCTTGGGAATATACATGACTACCTCCTCCTCTTCTCCTAAAGACAAGTTGGCAACCCACTCTGAAATCCTCTTCTCTATCTCTTCATTTTTGCTGCCAATGTACTGCCCTCGTTGCTCTCTCCTCCTCTCCAGTGGCTGCTCCTCTTCCTCCTCTTCCTCTTCCACCTCCTTTAGTTTCTCCTCCTCTTCTTTCTTCAGTCTTTCTTTCTCCCTGGCCATCTACTCCTCTATCTTCTTCAACTTCGCCGCCTGCTCCTCTTGTAAGACCTTCTTCTTGGCCTCCTTCTTCTCTTTCCTCTCCCTCAGGATGACGGCTATCTTCTCCTCCTCCTCCTTCGTATAAGGCTTAGTGGAGGCACCACCCCTGGTATCTACTCTACATGCGAATGTGTGCCAGAACCCCAGGGGAAAGAGGAGACGCCAGAGGGTCCCCCAGAGGGAGAACCCAACAAGTAAACCATACATCGGGTAATCGTCCATGGTGTCAGGTGCACGACAGAGCAGTCCCACTCCTCACCACGTAGACCAACCTGCAGACTCACTGACAGACTCTCTAAGGACCACAGGGCAGAACCCTGTCAACTATGGTCACTAACCTGGACCTACTCTAAGGCTGTCACTATTGAACCAGTGGCTGATCTGGAGGCATTCAAGGAGATCCCCCAAAACTCCGCAAGAATTCTTTAACGTTGCAGACAGGACGACGTGATCAGCTTGGTTCTGCCTGTGCTTTCRGCCCACAACTCAGCCTTTCCGCCCTACTGTGCCACACCGAGCAGCCCGCCGGTCTGTACCGGTCCTTGGGAGGGTTCGTATCCCCCGGGACAGTCGAGTCGTCAGACACAGATCCTCAGCCTTACTTGGTCCGGTAGGGGAGTGGTTCAAACAGGCCCTCAACACTTAAAGACTGCCTGGTGTGTCAGCCCTACCTGCCGTTCAGGCCCACTAAGTCCTACCAACCGTTTCTAGCCGGTCAGCACCGGTCCTTGGGAGGGTTATGCCCCCCTGGAAAGTTGGATCAGCCACAGTCTCAGCCCTACAAGGTCAGCCTAGGGTTTCGTCATCCAAGCACTATCCTTCATCTACAGATTGCTATCACCTAGGACAGAAGAGACTCGATGTAGAAAGAAGAGACAGACAGAATCAGACTCAGCAAGTTCCGCCGGGTGAGTGCACATCCACAGGGTGAGGGGATAGACTAAGGGCTTGGCGAGATGTTACCAACTCCAGCTTGGTCAAGATCTTGGTCAACGGCGCCGGTCAACTCTCTGGTCAACGCTCGGTCAACGCAGCAAGACCCCGGTCAACGTCCGGTCAACCCTCCGGTCAACTCTCCACCTCGGCTATGGTTGCCGGCACCTTCACCTTCACCACCCTTGTTTCTTTCTTCCCCTTCCTTTACCTTCTTCTTCCTTTCTTTCTCTTTTTTTTTTTTTTTTTTTTT